AAATCTTTGTACATATCTCTGATTATTTCTTTAAGATAAATTCCTAGAATTTAATTCCCAGATTAAACAATACTTTAAAACAAGAACTTCTGGGACACCTGGGTGGCTCGGTGGTTAAGTGTCTGCCTTCAGCTTAGGGCATGATCCTGGAGTCCTGGGATCGAGTCCCACATGGGGGCTGCCTGCATGGAGCCTGCTTCTCCCTCTGTCTGTGTCCCTGCCTCTCTCTTTCGATCTCTGTGTCTCTCATGAATAAATAAATAAATAAAATCTTAATTTTTTTAAGATTTTTATTTATCTATTCATGAAAGACAGAGAGAAAGAGAGAGAGAGAGAGAGAGAGAGAGAGAGAGAGAGGCAGAGACACAGGCAGAGGGAGAAGCAGGCTCCATGCAGGGAGCCTGATGTGGGGCTCGATCCGGAGACTCCAGGATTACACCCTGCGCTGAAGGTAAGGCTAAACCGCTGAGCCACCCAGGGATCCAATAAATAAAATCTTTAAAAAATAATAAAATAAAATAAGAACTTCTAAAAAAATCAAAGAAATTCTTTGTAAATAGAAAATTCTATAGGGGTGCCTGGGTGTTTCAGTGGGTTAAGCATCTAACACTTGACTTTGGCTCAGGTCATGATCTCAGGTCCTGCTGTTGAGCCCCACATTGGGATCCATACTCCTGGGGAGTCTGCTTCTCCTTCTCTTCCTCTCTTCCTGCCCTTCCCCCTCCTTGAGCTCTGGCTCATACTCTCCCTCTCTTTCTCTCATAAATAAATAAATAAATAAATAAATAAATAAATAAATAAATAAATAAAATATTTTTTGAAATTCCATAAATGCATATGATTATATCATTTTATTTTTTTTTCTTCTTTTTTATAACCCCATAATGGAAATAATTTTAACTTTAGAAAAACTTTGAAAGAGGAACTTTTCTGAGGATATTGTATTTATATTTATAAACCATCAGTTAAATTGTTGGTTACTTTCTGAGAAGAGATGGAGTGTACTAATTAAGATTTTCATGTACTAACATGAAAGAGGAAGTACCATTTGGCTAGGCAGCAGACTTGTGCTTTTGGGGGAGAATCAGCAAATATGGAGGATTAGGAGCAAGGAAAAAGAATGGTTCATGCCAGACACGTTCATCAGTCATGGAATCTGCCCAACTGCAAGGGAATGCAGCCCACCCAGAGCCCTCTGCAGGGGCTGCCCTCACTAGCGTGGCAACTCACAGTTGCCATTGACTGAGTCAAGTATCAACACTCGGTTAATTAGCCACAATTCTCAGGATCTAAGAGTGTCAGCCAGGGGTCTACCTATTCACATGGAGAGAGCTGCTCAGAACACAAAGGTTCTGGGGTCTGCCCATGCAGCTGGCTGGCTCTGGGATGATTGTCAGGGGACTGGCGTGATTCAGCCATGGAGAACAGCAGGCAGTAATTTCACTGCTGCTTGTTATCTGTCCCTCTCTCCGCTGAATGCTCCTGGCTGGTAGCAAAGGCCTGAAAGGGACGGCTGGGTGAGAACAATAAGGAGAGACAGGAAAACGCTTTAAATAATTTCCTTAGCTGAAGTCACATGAATATCCTCTAAAGAACCATGGTGGCTGGCCAGGCCCAGCTGGCAGACTGGTTTTAACTGAAACATAAAATTTGGTTTTGGAAATCCTTAAGACTGGAAGCACACATCCAGTTACACTCTGCCTCTACCTACCACTTTTCATTATAGATTTTCTTATATACTCATTCTTTTCCTCAGAGTAGATTTGAGGGCAGGGAAACGTATATTAGGAGATGCCAAGGCCACCATATTCTCCATATTAGAGTCAATTCTAAAAACAGTTGTAGTTGCTAGATTGTCCTTAAACCTATTAGGTCAAAGATCTATTGATTCACAAAATGAGTTTTAAAAATGTAGTAGTGATCTACTTCCACCACTAAAGCATTTCTCTTTCTTTGTTGGCAAAGGGTAGTTCTCCTACAAATCAAGCCAAAGATCCAGAAGAATCCTTTAAAATTGTCCAGTTTGACCTCTCAATAAATGCCTGGATCCCTCATGTCCAGCAACTAAGCAGCTGTTCTCTGAGTAAAGGGTCCTCCAGAGCAGCCTATCCCCATTTTGGACAGTTTTATCTCATTCATCCTTTTCCTAAGCCACAGTTTGGGTACTTAGGCTTTCCATTTTTATTCTCGTAGCCACAAAGAACAAAAAGGCTTCTACTTGTGTATTATATTTTTTAACACATTGTGGACTTTTACTGTGTCCTTTTTGCATCTTCCCTTTAGATCTTGAATATTCTCAGTAAGTTTGTTTGTTCATTTACTCATCATTTATTTACTGAACAATACTATATGCCAGAGAAAGCACCAAGAAACAAAGATGAATACTACACAGTTTCCTTAGTTTGAAGGAAAGATAGACTCATAAATATATAAACTCAAAATAATGCAGTGCATGGCATAGATAAACACAAAACTCCTTAAAGATTTAAAAGGAGACTAAATTACCCAGAGAAGTGGAGTTGGAGTAATTATTTAATATTTTCTGTAGCATGTGCCTTCTGAGCCTTATCTTGGATAATGGGAAGAATTGGGCTGGCAAAGGGGAGATAGAATGTTTCTGGCAGAGAAAACAGCATGAATAAAGGCCAAGAGACAAATCATGAGGTGAACTGTACAGGAAAGAGCCAGCAGCTCAGTTGAGTATTTCTGCAGGTGAAAATGTAAAGCTAGAAATGAAGGTTAGGAGCTAGGTAGTGAATATGTTTCTCAAATGGCAAAATTTTCAGTGCCTTCTCCAAAAATATTGATATTTTCAGAAGAAAGTATTTGCATATCTCCCAATCTGTGCTCTCCTCTTTCTCTACCCCCTTACTCAAGAAATGATTATATCCGAGGTGCCAATTCTAGTAAGACCAATATACTCCAATTGATGTTCTTGGAACTAGACCGAAATTACAATGAAGATGCTCATCTTTCCTTCCAAAACCTCTAGATCTTACAGAAACTGCCTCACAAGTCACCTAACATGCTATCCTGATAACTATATACATGACAATGTAGTTGATATTACAGTAAAAATGTATTGATTATCAGATGCCAGACTATCACTGCCTTTTCTGCTCTTTCTTGGATTCCACAAAGGGAGAAATCATCTAGTCTTATTCCCTGTAGCCTTAGCTTCCCTGTAGCCTTACACATAATAGATACTCAAATAATACTGTTAGAGTCATCTGGTGTCGAGATACTTAAAACCAAGAATAGCTTCACCTGCACTTGTGGTAAATTCTTATCACATCCAGTTCATTTTGCTTTCTTCATTCAAGCCTTGTCTGTGTCCTGGACCGGGCAAACCCTTTACCATCTCAGGGATTTTACATATGTTCTTCCTTTGCCTGGAATGTTCTGTTTCCTCCCCAGGTTCCATCCTGACCCCCTTAAAAGTAACTAACTGTTTTTCACCTTCAGGAAAAGTCCTTGTGCTTCCTTCCTCTGTTGGCCACTCCTACATTCTGCACTTCCTCTTCCTGTGCCTTATAAACTGATATATTCACTGCTATAGTCCCAGAAACTAGTCCAGTGCCAAGCACAGAGCTGATGTTTAACAAGTATAAAATATATTTATGATTACATGACTGCTACTGAGTATTGTTTCTGTTCAATGAGCATTGGATTTTTCCAAAGAAAAACAGAACTAGAGAAATGTCAGAAGTATAAAGACATGGGATTTTAGTTGTTATGGTTGAATTATTAATTTCAACCCTTCAACATAAATGTATGATTGCAAAATCATCCTTCTGGAATTCTTATTATTTAGCCAATAAATATTGCCAAACATAACCTTGACATTTGTAGTGATATAACTGTCAAGTTACAGCTGATTTTATCTTGACATTGAACTTTTCTGACTAATTGACTATCTTAATTAATTTTTCTGGATTAACTACTAAATTTTTCATCCTCATCTCTTTTTATCCAAGAGCAGAACTTAATCAGGTAGTTTTAAATTTAGTAAGCTATCTTGGTTTTAGTGAAATCAAATATCCAGTGATAGAGAACTAGTTAAATAAATGATAGTATGTGACCTTGATGAAATATTATTAGCAATTTAAAATGGATAATTATAAACAGTACCTAGGTATATGGATATGGCTTAAAATATAATGTGAATTAGAAAAAAACATCCAAACATAATATGGAAACCTAATGTAGCAAGGGAGATATAGATAAAAATATGTAAATAATAAATATGTTAAGTAAGATGGCTTGTGAATTTGGGGAAGACTTTTAAGTATGTCTTAATACAGATTTTAGAAGGTTATATGTACATTGGATGTCAATTACTATAATTTACATGAGTAAGTATGAAAGCTTTATTAGAATATAAACTATCAAATTTACATGCTGCAGTAGTAATACATTCCTTGTCTATATCTATTGCAAATTAAAATCTGTTTATTGCTAAAAAATATCTCACATTCATTAACTCTAGAAAGGAGACCTGCCTTCTGAAGTCAAAGCTTCTTGTTACATAAAGACTCATTTATTTGATGTATAACAATACTGGAAATAAAACAGCCAAATTTCACTACTCTACTAAATCAATTTCCACATAGCTGGTTTCCTTCCATTCTTTTTCATATATAATTTTCACAATTGACATTAATATTTTTGCATATAACACAATTTGTAAGCTTTTATTTCCTACTTTGTAATGATCATTTTAATTGCTGTATAAAAAAATACTTTCCCTAAATGCCAAAATATAAGGCCCTTGGAATAAGCAAAAACGTAAGGCCCCTTAAATTCTTGCAATGCAGAAACGAACTTGAGTGTTTTTTCTGACCTTCCTTTGTCTGCTGACAGTGCACTTTATAGCTTTGCATTAGAAGACTGTTATCACCTGATATCCATTGGAGTGGTAAGATGATAACGGGTAGTGCAAGGGGAACTAGGTTTAGGTGACAGCCATATCATTTAATGTCTACGTATTGTCTCTCCAGGGGAATTCTGGCCTGGGATTCAGTATTGCTGGAGGAACAGATAATCCTCACATTGGAGATGATCCTGGCATATTTATTACGAAGATTATACCGGGTGGTGCTGCAGCAGAGGATGGCAGACTCAGGTAAAGCTCTGAAACGTTAGAATTATTTGGAAAGTAAATCTGCCACATCAATAAGACATGTTTATACCTTTGGAGAATAATAATTTTACAAGGCTCTGTACTTGAAAGAAATGGCTGTCAAAGCAAGCTTTCGATAATGACTTTGCAGATTTCTTATTACTCACTAAAATTCAACTAGTATTTAATTTCTGTTTGTTGATGAGCACTATATTCAACATTCAGCCTGGCTCTGTAAGGAGAGTATGCAGATAAATCTTTTGTTCCATGAGGCCTTCATTCTGGCTAGAAGGAAGAATACTCAGAGCTGGTGAGCAAATAATAACATGTTTCAAAAACACTATGCTGTAAGTAGTATTAACAAATAAGGCAATGGTATAGATACTGTGTGTAGTCATAGATTCAGCAACCACTTGTAAGAGCTTTCTGCAGGAGTTTGAACAGAGAGTATTAAAACTATTCCATAGGAAGATTCTATACTGGGTCTTAAAAAATAACTAAGATTCCACTAACCCCATAAATCTGAATAAGGACACAGGGGGAGAAAGAACAAATTATCCCAATGAAGAGAGAAACCAATTTGACTTTGATGAGGACCACAATGTGAGGTTAAGTAGGTAGATGGAGCAGAGCAGATACTGCTCAGCATACAGTAGTGGCTGCTAGAACCAGGGCCTCCACTCTTTAAAGAACTGAAGATTATTTGGGTAACTAAGGGTCACACACATTGGATGATTAGTAAATAATATAAAATTCTATCAGAGATCAAAGCACTAGCTAAAAGGCATTGTAGATTGGAACAATTAGAAGAGATTTGCGTGGGGAGAAAAGCATGTCCCAGTGTTATTTTAGTACTTCCACTACACTGTGAATCCCATTTGGCCAAGAAGTTATATATAGAAGTGCATCAATAAATTCTTGCTGAATGAATGAGTTTTTGAATTAATTAGTTAATTAATTAATTAAAGGAGATGAGGTAGGAGGGTAAATTAATGAGTAAGAAAAGGGTGGGTAGCACAAGCAAAGTCCTGTAGGTAAGAATGACTAGCTTACATAGAGCCACAGTGGGGACTGTGAATTAAGCATTGCAAATGTTAGCTTTGTAGCCGTTCCTTAGTCTGTTTTCTCATTAAACATGAGTAAGCTAGTTTACTGTTTTTCTTATAAAAAAAGCCAAGAACACTTGTGTTCCCTATCTACTTGTTCCGACGCAGTGATTACTTAGAACAGCTTGTGGAAGAGAATCACAGATTTTTTTTTTCAGGGGCATCTGAGTCTCCCACCAACATGAAAAATATGAATGACACTCCCACAGGAAACACATGGTTTTTAACAAAAGAATTTTCAAACTAAATTGGTGAGATTAATTTCTGAGTAAGGAAATACACATGCTACAGAGTGAACAGTTTGAAACAGATACTATGTAATTCTTATGAGTCATCTTGGTGACTGGGTTTGCTAATACTGATGGCTGGAGAAGCTTTTCTAAACTTTGAAAAGTTTAGAAATAGTAGTTGGAAGATTGCTCTGCAATCAATGGTCCACAACCACAACCTCATACCACTCTGCCTAGAACTAGGAGAACTTCTCTCTCTTAGCCAAATTCCCGCCCCAAGTTTGGGATAGAATAGCCTTTATGTTAAACATGCTTACCCTACAGTTAAGAATGAAAAGTGGCAGTGACACCATTGTTTGCTTTGCAAATATGGGTGGCAGTATCATGCCTACCGAGGTAAAAGGAGTTCTGCTACAAGGAGCATCCAGTAGTTATAAAGAGAATAAACATAATACTAGCTAAAGTTTATTGAGCTTTTTATGTCTGTAGGGCATTGTGCTAAGATACGTAGATAGAAATAAAGATGACATAAACACATACAGTCTTCTATATACTCACAATATCCATATGAGGTAGATACTGTTATTTGACCATAATATTAACCCATGAAATTAAGGCTTAAAGACTAAGAAGATCACCCAGCTAGCTTTGAATACACCCAAGAATTAATCCTGAATATCACTTGTGTACTCTCTAAACTCTTGTTCAACAGTAGAATCTTCTGTATCATGTGGTCTTTGCCTAAAAACTCCTAAAGGGAAAGGGACTAACACACAAGCCCACCCAAGAAGTCCTTTCTCACTGTGGCAGGGGCACTGTTCAAAGATAGGCCAACGAGCTGTGAGGAGTACTTTCTATCTCCCCATTAGTGCTTTGGACAGGGGAGCAGCACAGCACAATGAGCTCTGGAAGGATATAGGTTCTAATCTCTGTATACTAATATAATTGGTCTTGGAAAGTTACACTCTTTTAGTCCCTGTTTTCTCCTCCATAAAATGATGACACTAATATCAACTCCACTGAGTTGTTCTGAGGATTCAGTGAGAAAACTTATGTCCCCAGCTAAGTCAGTGTATATTAGATACTCAGTAAATATTAGCAATATCTCCCCCTTTTCCCTAACTGCCCTCCTACTCTCAGTGGTCTTTCCTCTTGCTCTTTCTACTTGTCCCTTCCATCTTTCTTTCAGCCTCCTTTCAGCTACCCTGTCTTTCCCTAAGGTTCCTGTTCTTTTATGTCCATAGCCCTTTTTCTCCTGCTTATAACATGGAATTAAAGGCCATTTAGAAATAGGTATGGTTCTAACACAGGTTCTATATTTCTGTTCTTGAGTTTATAATGTAATCAACTAACTCTGCTGTTTCCTTCACTTAAAAAAAAATAAGCTCACAAACTAAGCATGGTTATGTTTTACTTAAAAAATTCTTTGTTCTTTCGTGTGTTAGAGACTCTTAAAATTTTTAAGTATGTCTTTTCCACTATAAATTCCACTATATAGTGTCTTTTCCACTATAAATTTCCACTAGAAATTATATTGTTGAAAATCAAATAACACTAAAGTTTACAGAGAAGCTGAAGCCCAGGAAAGTGCGGTGATGGGTCTGCTCTTGAAGGAATAGAAATTTGGATTCTACAAGAGTGGATATATTATAATCAGATCAACAATAATAATAGCAGAGGCCAACATAGTGGTTCAATGTGCCAAGTACTTTTCCTGGCACATTAATTCATTTATTCAACAACTCAATGACACCCACAATTTTATTATTCCCATTTTTCAGATTAAAAAACCTAGGTACTGAGGTGCCTGGGTGACTCAGTCAGTTAAGCATCTGACTCTTGATTTCAGCTCAGGTCATGATCTCAAGTGGTGGGATTGAGCCCAGCATCCAGCTCTGCATTCACCAGGGAGTCTGCTTGAGGTTCTCTCTCTCCCTCTCCTTCTGTCCTCCCCATCTCTCTCTCTCTAAAATAAATAAATAAATAAATAAATAAATAAATAAATAAATAAATAAATAAATAAATAAATAAATGAATAAATAAATATTTTTTGAGAAAAAGGAAAAGAAAAAATCAAAGCATTAGAGGTTGAATAATTTGCACAAGCTTGTATGACTAAGAAATGTTAGAGCTAGAATTCGAACCCAGGTAGTCTCACTACAATGTCCATGTCATTGCTTTCTATATTATGCTGGTGGGGAGCAGGGAGACACTTGAAGACGCACTACAGTAGGCAGCATTCTAAAAATGCCACTCCTCAGGAGTCCACATCGTAATCCATAGAACCTGTGTCTACCGTGAGATATCACACCTGTGGTTATGCTATGTTATGTTGTAATACCCAGTTGACCTTAAGATAGGGGAGAGTATTCAAGTGAACATGATCTAATCATGAATTTTAAAAGTGGAATGCTTTCTCTGGCTGGTGGCAGAAGTCGGAAATTCAAAATGTGTGAAGTACTACTTGACACTCTGTTACTGGTTTGAAGACAGCGGGAGGAGGTCATGTGAGAATGTGAGAAAGGCCTCCATGTGAGAAAGGATGAGAAGCAGACAGCTAACAAGGAAGCAGAAACTTTTCTCTTACATCTGCAAGGAGCTGAGTCCTGCCACACCGATGTGAGCTTCGAAGAAGACCCTAACCTCCAGATGAGACTGTTGCTCAGCTGACGGGGATTTCAGTCTGTTAGAACCTAAGCAGAGATTATAGCCATGCTGCACCAGACTTCTGATCTGTGTAAACAGTGAGCTAATAAGTGGGTGTTGTTTTAAGCTGCAAATTTGTGGCGATTTTCTAAGGAGCAATAGAACACTAATAAATACACCATTCTAGGAATTCTAAGTTCATTGTCAAAAGTCTTCCTGTGCGAGCTCAATCACACTCAGTATAAAGTGAGTGTGAAGGCTTAAGACACAGATGAAATGCGAGGTGATTCTCTCCCTGAGATTAGACCCCAAAATGAGCTCAGGTCTCAGGAGTTGCCCCAGATGAGAGATATAAGAGAAAGAACATACTATTTGGAGTAAGGGGATCTGGATTTCAAGTTCTGATTTCTAGCTGTGTGACTTTGGGATTCTTTTTTAGGCTCTCTGTGTTCCAGTTTTCTGACTGGTTAAATTGGAGATAGGAGCATAGAGCTCAGGAAGCTACGTTAAAGATTAAATGAAATAGTGAGCGCGAAGGAGCTATGCAAAATTCAAGGCCCTCAACACAGCTCATTCTGCCAGGCCAGCCATTTAACAGCATGCTGAACTTGTCACAAGTCTGTGACTGCCAGGAAAGGACACTTATGGTAGAAATCTAAAATAACCTCCAATGAACCACAGCCTGTATGATTTCTTCCCCTTGAGTGTGGGCAGAACCTGTGAATATGATGGAATAGTACTTTCATGATAATATTGTTTTATTTGGCGGAAGAGATTTCACAAATATAATTAAGGTCCCTAATCAGTTGACTGAGTTAATCAAAAGTGATTATATTGTGTCAACCTCACCTAATCCAGTGAGTACTTGAAAAGCCAAGAGATTGTCCTGCTGGCCCAGACAGAGCAAACTTCCATGTTATGAGATCTGTAGAGGGGGCCATGGGGCAAGTACTTGAGGGCAGCTTCTAGGAGCTGAGAATGGTCCCCAGCCTATGCCAGTAAGATGGAAGATGTCCGTGAT